TAATCAGCTGATCTCAAAATAGGAAGGGTATCCTGGATTATTTTGTTGGGTGCAATATAATCACAAGGGTCCTTGGGGCGCCTGGGTGGCTCAGTTGTTAAGCGGCTGCCTTAGGCTCAGGTCATGATTTCAGGGTCCTGGGATCAAGTTCCGCATCGGGCTCCCTGCTCCACAGGAAGCCTGCTTCTCCCTCTCCCACTCCCCCTGCTTGTGTTCCCTCTCTCGCTGTCTCTCTCTCTCTGTCAAATAAATAATAAAATAAAATAAAATAAAATAAAATAAAATAAAATAAAAAACAGGGTCCTTAAAAGTGAAAGAGGCAAGGAAATGGATCCTTTTCTAGAGCCTCCAGAAGGAAACACTGAACCTGCCAACACCTTGATTTTAGCCCAGTGAGATCTAGGCTTGAGAGAGTGGGGCATAGTTGGTGAGAACTGATGTAAGCACATAAGACACCTAGCTTAAAATTCTCCGTCGGTGGCACTTGTTGTTATAAGGGATGGGCTTATAGGGTGGATCCCAGGCTGAGGGGAGACATCAGTGCCTGGTTTCCATCCCAGGGTCCAGTGCTCGCTGAGAGAGTTGGGCTGAACAGGTAGGCCTTGGGGGCTGCACATGGTCACCACTCAGAGAGCTGGTGGGAGTCAGCCGGTAGAGGAAACTGATCCTTGACTGAGGACAGGATTAGAGGGTCAAAGTGGAAAAGCAGGGTGGGGGGCTGCACCTGGGTGGCTCAGTTGGTTAAGCGTCTGCCTTCAGCTCAGGTATGATCCTGGGGTCCTGGGATCGAGTCCTGCATCGGGTTCCCTGCTCAGTGGAGAGTCTGCTTCTCCCTCTCCCTCTCCCTCTGCCCCTTCCTCCCACTTGTGCTCTCTGGCTCTCTCTATCTCTCTGTCAAGTAAATAAATAAAATCTTTAAAAACAAAACAAAACACAAAAAACAAAGTGGAAAAGCAGGGACTGGGCCCCGGGCTGGGTGAAAGGGCTGTCGGAGTTAAGCATCTGCCTTCGTCTCAGGTCATGATCCCGGGGTCCTGGGATCGAGCACCGCATCCGGCTCCCTGCTCGGCGGGAAGGCTGCTTCTCCTTCTCCCACTCCCCCTCCTTGTGTTCCCAATCTCACTGTGTCTCTCTCCGTCAAATAAATAAATAAAATCTTTAAAAAAAAAAAAAAAAGAAAGGGCTGTCGGAGCCGAAGGCAGGAAGATCAGGAGCAGGTCCTCATGTGGGGTGCAAGCTGGGGCAGGGTGCGGGGTTGGTGCTGGTGGGTGTGGGCATGACTGATGGGTCAGAGTTCCTGGGGGGAGCAACAGGATGACTTGCCGAGAAGGAACTCATCAGCCAATTTCTTGTGAGCGGTTACTGATGGCTCATAGTGGCTCACTGTGTCAGACTTGCCCAAGGTATTCATGTTTAACAGTGCATATCATTTTAACATAAAAAGATGAAGTTGCATTTAAGATAGCTGTTTTGGGAAGGAAAACCTCACGGCCACGAGGACGTAAGATGTCACCTGGACAGCCACGTGCGTCACCTGCTCACTAAGCCCGGAACCTCCACAAGGTCTCCCATCTTCTAGCCCCCGTGCCCTTAAATGATCCCTAGACTTTTGTTATAATTCTTCCACTTATTTTCTGTGTGTGCTGGGCCAGTGTATTTATTTTCATTATTATTACTTTTTTAGCAACAAGTCATATGATACTTAACATGTGCCAAGCACTGTTCTAAGTGATTTACAAATAATAACTTTCTTAATCATTGTAACAACTGCTGCTAGCTCCATCTTATAGATGGGGGAAAATGAGGCACAGAGAGGTTGAGGAGTTTGCCCAAGACCCCATGAGTGGCTGTACTTTCTGAGCCTCAGTTTTCTCAACTGTTACACTGAGTTAGCAGATTCCGGTGTCCTCCCCAGAGCAGGGCTTCCCAGCCCTGGCATTACTGACGTTTGCTCTGGGGGCCGTCTTGTGCATTGCAGGATTTTAGCGGCATCCTTGGCCTCTACCTGAGAGATGCAGTGGCAAACCCCCTTCCTAAGTTGTGGCAAACACAAGTGTCTTCAGACCTTGCTGAATGTCCCCTGGGGGCAAAATCAACCCTGGTTGAGAACCACCACTCTAAAAGGGTCTGGGGAGAATTAAGTGGGGTCATGCATGTAAAATGCCTTCACACATCCATTCCCTTCTCTGCCCCTTCTAAACCTATATTCTTTGAATTGCAACTCTTCAGAACCCTCTTTCTCTTTCTGTTCCTTTACTGATCTTGAAGAATGTGCCCCCCTCAATGTGGATTGTGTGCATCAGAGTTTCTTGCAAACCCAAAGCTGGTTCTAGGATCAGACCTACATTGTAGTCCCCTCTGTTCCACTGACGTGCTGTGTGGTCTTGGCTGAAGCCCTTTGCCTCCCTGAGCCTCAGTTTCCCCATGTGTACCCGGAGGGGGTTGACCTAAAAGCTTTCCAAAAGATCTTCTCGCTGCAGAAATCAGTGACTGGGTGATTCATACCAAATACCAACAAATTCCCCCTCACAAAGTCCAAATTCTTGCAGAGACTTAGTCATTCCAGGGTTTGAACTTTCTCGCAAAAACCATTCGAAAAATTCTTCCAGCTTAAAAAAAAAAAAAGAGCTATTAAAAGAAAGTAAAAGTTTCAAAACCAAATCCTAGGCAAACAACACCGAAAACAATACACACACACGCACACACACGCTCACAACACCCAAGGTACCACCGAGAACAGGATATGAAACCTTGCCAGCCGGCACTAAGAAATGATTCACAGGCTTTTCGAGATGCTTCTATTTCAAGGCATGATCCGCCCACTGGATCTGGTGACTCCAAAAACAAAATAAACCTTAAAGAAGCTGCCGTTTCTTATCTCAACACACAGCTGGCCTAACCAGCATCCCCAGATTTCAAGGGCTCCAGCCAGAAGACAAGGTTGAGTCCTGTGAATTCCCTTTCTGTTCTGTTTCAAGTCTCAAGCTGCTGGCTTGTTTAAAGAAAGTCTTTTGCATCCACCTTTGGTTGGTTGAGTTTAAAGCAACACCGCCTCAACCGATGTGAGTTCGTAAGTTTAGTTTCGCAAGGCCTCTGTCCTGCTAGATTCCAGTCTGGTCATTCCAACAGCTGTCTCCAACTAAACAATCCTGCCTGGCTTAGGGATCGTGTCTATCAATATTATACTTGCCTCAGGCCAGGAAACATTACTTTTAGCATGCCATCCAAAGTTTCATGCTCTTATGTAAAATAGAAATATAGAAGTACTTATTCACTGAATGAAATGTTTATTGAGTGCTTACTGAGCTAGGCACCAGGGTTGCACTGGGCTAAGAGGCAGCCTCGGCCTTCAAGGGGCCTTGCTGAGTAGGAAAGGCACACAAGTTAAATATAGTAGAAACGAATGGAACTATTCCCTACAGGAAATGCCCTGCAGAAAAAGCGATACTAACGTTGGAGCAAAATTTAAAGAAATGCAAACACTTGTGATATGGTCAAGTACGTTCTTATCTGTGCTTATGCTTGACTGCTTCTTTTGGATTTAGAACATTTCTTTCACTGGTGCTCCAGTTGCCCCCACCCAAAAGCCCAGAATGCTGCAGAAAGGGTCTAGCCCAAACCTACTTTTCTTACCAACTGACCCCCTCACAGCCCAATCTTACATCCATGCCATCATTGGTCCAGAGAGTCTTCCTTCCTCCCCTTCTTATCTGTCCTCCAGGGTCTGATTCCAAGCCCATTTCCCCCAGGAAGCCTTTGCAGACCTCCTGGCCATGTCCCCACTATTCCTAAATACACAGATCTTGTGCTCTTTTCTTGGCTTTTAGCCTGTCCTGCCTTGTGACCTCTCTTGTATTTCTGTCCTGAACTTTTACCTAATTTGTGAATTAGGAGAAAGAGGATAAGGACTGACATTAAGTGCTTTTGGTGCCAGGTGTCTTGTTGGCCCCTTACCATACATTAAATGCCTGGCTCATAGAAAATGTTCAGTAAATATTCGCTGGCTGAATGCTCGAGTGATTTCACTTAAATACAGTGATAACTTGAGGCAAATGCCCATTTTACAAATGAGGAACTGAGGCACAGACAGGTTAAAGCCTGCAATTGTGGTCTTTCTGCCTCCAAAACTAAAGTTCAGGCTCATTCTTCAGTTCTGTGTTGCTTTTCTTCAGATACATATTTTTTTTCCCCTAAGAATCTTGTACATGGTGTTTTAATAAACTTCTATCGATTGATAGGACGCATACCATGCTCCCTTCTTCATCCCGTCCCAGACATTATTACTTGCTCTCTTTTGTGGTTCATAGTCTTTATTTCTATGCTTAGTTTGAAAACCATCCCACTATTACCTGTGTTTGTCTGTCTCTCCCACTGGACCATGAGTGCAGTCTGTCTGCTGTGCCCATGGCTGGCACACTGTGCTCGATGAAGGTTTGCTGAACCAGGGTGGTAGTGGTGATGTAGGGTGTTGAATTATGTCTCCCCAAAAAGATATGTCCAAGTTCTAACCCTAGTACCTGCGAATGTAACCCTGGTTGGAAATAGGGTATTTACCAATGTAATTAAGGATCTCAAAAGGAGATCATCCTATACTTAGGGTAGGCCCTAAATCCAAGGACTGGTGTCCTTGTCCAAGAAAGGAGCAATCTGAGACATAGAGACACAGAGAGGGGAAACCCTGGTGAAGACCGAGCAAAGATCGGGGTCACGGAGACAAGAAACGCCAAGGATTGTGGGCGGCCACTGCAAGCCGGAAGCGAGGATTCTTTCCAGAGCTTCCAGAGGAAACCCACCCTGCTGACACCTTGCTTTTGGACTGCTGGCCTCCAGAACTGTGAGAGAATTTATTTCTATTGTGGTAAGCCACCAACTTTGCGGAGGTTTGGTACAGGGTGTGAGCAGAGGGATGTGAGCAGGGGGATAATGCTGGCTGAGAAATTCAGGGCTTAAGGGAAGCAACTTCGACTCTGGGGTCTCACCAGCCTGGCTTTGGCACCTACCTATTCTACGGTCTTGATGGATGCTCCTCTGCTCCTTGGAATCTCGGTTTCTTTCTGTGCAAAATGGAGTCATCGTTATAGCTAACATCTTTTTTCTTCCATTTTATTTTACTTTTTTATCATGATTAAGTATACTCTTTCATATGTAGCTAACATCTGTAAAGAAAGCCAGGCAGTGTGGTAAGACCTTTCCAGGCATCCTAAGACAGCCTGGGTAATAGGTCAGTAACACTCATTAAGAAAAGAAACTGGCGGACGCCCAGGTGGCTCAGTCAGTTGAGCGTCTGCTTTTGACTTGGGTCATGATCCTGGGGTCTTGGGATCGAGTCCCGCATTGGGCTCCTTGCTCGGTGGGGAGCCTGCTTCTCCCCCTGCCTGCTAATCCCCCTGCTTGTGCTCACTCTCTCTGACAAATAAATAAATAAAAATCTTAAAAAAAAAAAAGAAACTGAGTTTGAAATTTACAATCTCACCTTGCCATGTGTGAGGAGCTCTCCACGCTGCACTGTTCTGCTTTGAATCGGACAATGTGATCATTCATGAAAAGAGCATCGGCTGAGTCAGACAGAACCAGGTTCAAATCCTGCCTCTGGTGTTCACCTTGGGCAACCTGTCTTGCCCCTCTGAGCCTCGGGTTCAGCATCCGTAAAATGGGTATGGTACCGGTCCCTACTCCCTAACACGGATGTGACAACTGGGAACACATGGGTGGTAAGGGCAGCGCCGTTCTCGAGCACAGTAGGTCCTTAACGAGAGGAAGGGGCCGCTGCTGCTGAAGATGATGGTTCAGGAGGGGACAATCCAGAGCAGCGAGCGAGTGAGAAAAGACTGCAACAGCTGGTGGCTGATTTTCCCAGAGGGGGCCTGAGGGACCGCGAGGGCCTCTCGGGCAGCTGCTTCCTGGGGTTGTGATGTCACCAGCCCATCCAGGAGGCCACGGTACCAGTGCCTGTCACTGCCTCTCAGCTGGCCTGCTCCGCTTCCTGCGCCCTGAGCCTGCCCTTGCCTTCTTTCTCACGACCCTCGACCCTCGGGAGGCAGCTGGACTGCGGCTCAAGGAACAACTCTCATCTGCACATGGGGAGAGCAGGGGCCCCTCGCCACTCCCCAGGGCTCCTGCACCTTGGAGGGACCCTAAAGAGTGACTCTTGTCCAGTGGTTTTCAAACCCGGTTCCTCCAGGCCTTGGGAGCCTGTGGAAGTGCCTCAGGGACCACTGAGGGTGGGGAGAGGGGGCAACATGGCGGCAGCAAGGGGTGCACTGAGCAGGCCAGGTTCTCCAGCCACACTCCCCGCTCTGGCCCCGGGACAGCCCCACTTTTATCTTGTTTACATATTGGATCTACTTATAAACTTTAATTTCCCAAGAAAAGATCTTACGACAAAAGAAAGTTAAAAAACCTTTGATCCTTTCTGGTGTGTGAATTATATCTCAGTTTATTTATTTATTTATTTTTAATTTTTTTTTTTAAGATTTTATTTATTTATTTGACAGAGAGAGACACAGCGAGAGGGAACACAAGCAGGGGGAGTGGGAGAGGGTGAAGCAGGTTTCCCACAGAGCAGGGAGCCCGATGCGGGGCTCGATGTGGGGCTCGATCTCCTGACTCCAGGATCAAGACCTGAGCCGAAGGCAGCTATTTAAGCGACTGAGCCACCCAGGCGCCCCTATATCTCAGTTTAAAAGAAACCAAAAGGCGTGCCTGGGTGGCTCAGTCATTAAGTGTCTGCCATCCACTGAGGTCATGGTCCCAGGGTCCTGGAATCGAGCCCCGCATCGGGCTCCCTGCTCGGCGGGAAGCCTGCTTCTCCCTCTCCCACTCCCCCTGCTTGTGTTCCCTCTCTCGCTGTGTCTCTCTCTGTCAAATAAATAAGTAAAATCTTAAAAAATAAAATAAAATAAAATAAATAAAAGAAACCAAAAAGCAAACCCTCCAATCTCTTCTGTGCTCTCTGTTTTCTAGATGGGAGAGTGAGGTCAAGTGAGGAGCCACAACCCCTTCTGGGTCTCCCCGTGATCAGGGCTAGAACTGGGAACCAGGCCTCCGCCTGCCTCTACGCCATGTGGTACCAGGAGGGGGTGGGGCAGGCGGCCCTGAGTGCTGCACCTGACCAGCACCACCTCATCCCTTCAGCTCAGGTGCAAAGTGGGGGCCAACTCAGTGACCCCCACAGGCACGCTTGAGGCTGCCTGTGCAACCATCCTGCTCGAGAGCCTCCATTACCTTCCTCCTGGAAGACAACTCCTGGGAAGATGGAATTTATTAGTTGTCGTTTGAACTAACATTTGTTAAGCACCTCCTATGGGCCAGGCGTTGTACTTGGCTTTGGGAATCGAAGAGGGACCAGGATGTCAGACTCCCTCTCTTCTGGAAACTTAACATTTGTATGGTGGAGGCCGATCACAAACAAGTAAGCAAGTAAGTCAATGGGAAAAAGTCAGAGTAAGTTCTGTGGTGGAAATAGAAGGGGAGATGAGGTAGAGACAGAGTGCGCGCGTTTCTAACCGGATCGGGCAGCTGGACAGGCTCCTCTAAAGAAGGAGTATTTGAACGGAGACCTCAAAGAGGTGAGGACCGAGAGGATTCACGCTAAGTGATTCTGTGTGAATGCCGGAGAGCAGCAGGGACGGAGGAGACGGATTACCTGAGTATCCACCTCAGCACAGTTTGGTTATGACGATAAATATACAAAGGTGATGTTCACATGCTCACGTGTTTGTTTCCCAACCTGTGCCCGCTGATGGGACTAATGCTTCACATTTCATGCACACTTGCAACACGCCTTGTCTTCTTCTAAGCATTTAGATGTGTTGCTCCTTTTAATCTTCCCGCTATCATTTCCACTATTCTACAAATAAGGAAACCGAGGCTCAGAGAGGTGAACTGACTTGCCTGAAGTCACACAGCCAGAAAGTGGTAGAGCTGGAACTTGAATCCAGTCGATCCGGGGTCTATGGTTTTAACCATTGCCTAGCTTTGCCTTTGGATTAGGCAAAGCTAGGCAATGGTTAAAGAGAGAGAGAGAGCATGAGAGCATGCCATGGAGATCAATGAGTAGTTAGCTAATTATTACTTGGCAGTTCCACTCACACATCTTCACAAAGAGACATCTATAAAGATGATCGGGGCAGCTTTTCCTGTAACCATGAGAAATGGAAATCCTAAATGTTAAACCTTCAGCATTTTGATTGTACCTGGGGCTTAATTCATAGAGGTGAATGAGAGCCAACACAGTGGGGCCAAGGCTATTGGATCCAGAAACCGCCTGGACACCTGGGCAGGTGCTCAACTAAATGGATGTCTGCTTGTGTTTGGGGAGAGGGAGCTCTGGCCAGCTGTTTAGCTATTCCAGACCCTTGGCATGACTGCCCTTGAGTGGCACACGAGGTCTTGTGCTTACCTTTCCCTGCCTTGCTCCCACCAACCTTTCAAAATAAATCCCTGATGTCCCAAGCGGGGGGAAAATGAATGTGCTGGCAGGAGTCACGACAGTGTCTGCAATCCTCTATGTGGATTGTGAAACTAGACAAGTTCTGAGACCATGACTCACGAATGTTACGTCAAGAAGGAAATTACAAACAAGTAACCGCTAGGAGCACCATTTCACAGAGCGTCCTTCCCTGGCTGTGTGTCACCCCAGGCCCCTGACCCTATGTTTTAGTCACGGCAGGCATCTGGAATACAGATGGGAGCCCCGCGTCCCTTCCCCCGAGCCCAGGACACCCTCCTCCCAGGTCCTCTCTCTCTGAGAGTTGGGTTTTGCACTGCCCAAGCTGCCCTCTGATCCTTCTGGACTTTTCGAAGATGACGGTGCCTGTCGGGAGGTCTGGGTTCAAATCCTGGCTCAGCCACTTATCACCTGAATGCCTTTGGCAAGTTTCTGGACCTTCAGCATCCTTACTTACTCAGGGACTGACTAGGACAACAGTTGCCCACCTCCTAAGGCTTCAAGAGGGCAGCGTCCTTGTGTCTGTGTTCATTGCTATATCTCCAGGGCTTCCAATGGTACCCAACATCAATGATTAAATATTTGCTGAATGAATGAAAGTTCTAGTACAGGACCTGGATATATAGTAGGTGCTTAGTACCTGGTGGCTGTTATTCTTAATACCAATTCCTAAGGGAGCGCCTACTGAGCGGCTGACCTCAGAATCCTGTTCAGCCTGTATCTCTCTCAGAATCAGTGAAGATGCTGGTATATCCTTTGGTCCTGGATAGTGTGAGTCAGAGTCCCAGAGCCTGGACACCTGGGCTGGTAAGAAGGGGGCTGGGCGGACAAGACCCAGATCTTACAAAATTTAGGAAAAGATTGGGGTACCACGAGACACAGGGATACAGGGATCTTCTTTCTGCAGCAGGGGTGATGGACAGAGAGAGCATCTTGATAAAAATAGGGGAACTGGCCCCTTGCATTAGCCAAGGTTCCAGTAGAAAACAGACGGCTCGCCAGAAGGGGCAACTGGAGAGAGAGTTTCATGAAGGGCCTGAATCTCTAAAGGGGTTGGTAGGGTTAAGGGAGGGAGGGACACCCAGGCCCAGTCCCAGCAGGAAACACTGGCCTCTGCTAGCCTGGAGGGGCAAGGCGTGACTGCAAGAAAGGAACCGTGGCCTGAGGCAGAAGAACTGTGCAGTCAACCCAGCCAATGGGGAGGAGGGAGCCAGGGCATAGATACCTGACCCCTCTTCCTTTTAACACCAGTCTTTTCCTGGTGCTTCTATTCGCCAAACCCACGTGGAACCAGAGAGAAGCCGAGGCCCTTCCCTGGGCGGAGGAGGGAGGACCCCGGTCTGGAGGCGCAACTGTGGAGAACACACAGCAAGCCTGGAGGAGGGGAGGGTTGTTTTGCTTTTGTTTTGCTTCTGTTTTTAGCATGTCTATGGATGGGGGACTTTACATATGGAATTTTATTCTTATGTGTACTACATATATTCTCACAATTGCTCTGGGAGGTGAGGAAACCAAAATTCAGAGAGACAAAGTGAGTTGCCCTGTCTTCTGACCCCAAAACCATGATCGCTTCTTCTTTCCTTCCTTCCTTCCTTCCTTCCTTCCTTCCTTCCTTCCTTCCTTCCTTCCTTCCTTCCTTCCTTCCTTCCTTCTTTCCTTCCTTCCTTCCTTCCTTCTTCTTCTTGATGTTTTAATGAAGTCTTTAGAGTGAGATGGGAGATAGAGAGATATTTAAATATCTTAAAAGTCAGAGATGCAAAGCACAGCCTCACCTGGATGGGCCAGTGTCACCAGAGCTTGGTGGCCCGGCGTGTCTGAACATGGTGCAGCCCTGTGTAGGCTGAGGAGGGACACCCCAAGGCCGACCTCACCCACAGGAGACCCAGCAGCAAAGCTTCAGGAAGCCCATTGCTTGCCAGTGGGCAGGGTCAGCATTATCAATAGATTACTTGGTTATTATAAAAGGATATGAGTCAGGAACAGCCAGATGGAAGAGATGTGCAGGGCGAGGTATGTGAGAAGGCACACGGAGCTTCTGTGTCCTCTCCAGGCATGTCCCTCTCCCCAGATCTCCAGCCTGGATGCCCCTCATGTTCTGTCCATGTGACATGATTCTGATGACAGAGCAAACACTGCCTTTCTGGCTGATATGTTCTACTTACCAGGTCTCTCTTGACCGGGTGATGGAAGGAAGTTCAGGGGACAGGGAGGACAGGTGGTGGGAAGATCTTTGGGCATCTTTGGTGCTCACCACACCATTCCAGGGGCCACTGCTGTGGTTTTGAGTCTCATTCATTCTGGGATTCAATAGCTGTGGGAAGGACAAGGCCAGGGGAGCAGGGACTGGGTTGGGAGGGGCATTGCCATGGAGATCAATGAGTAGTTAGCTAATTATTACTTGGCAGTTCCACTCACACATCTTCACAAAGAGGCATCTATAAAGATGATCGGGGCAGCTTTTCCTGTAACCATGAGAAATGGAAATCCTAAATGTTAAACCTTCAGCATTTTGATTGTACCTGGGGCTTAATTCACAGAGGTGAGTGAGAGCCAACACAGTGGGGCCAAGGCTATTGGGGGAAGTTATATTACTTCTAATTCCAAAGAGGATGGGCACACCACACCACACCGGGCCACGCGGGGAAGCACCAGGGTCAGCGAGGAGGCAGAAGGAGTGAGGGGAGAGCAGGGTATAGAACCTTGGTTGTGGTTTCCTTGGAAAGGAATGCCGAGCTAGGGTGGGCAAGTTTGAGCTTGACTATTGTCAGTAGGCTTTGGGCTATCAGGTGTCTAGTACCTGGCCCTGGGGTGATGTAGGGCAGGGGGAATATTGGCTTAGCGTGTGAGA